ATACACTAAAGAGTTTTTCCAACCATTTCTTCTAGAGTTTTTATTGTTTCATATCTTAGATTTAAATCTTTTATACTGTGAGAGTCAATTTTTGTAAGTGGTAAGAAGTGGTATGGATCCAGTTTCAGTCTTTTACACATAGGTAACCAGTTCTACATTTCTTACATAGGGATTCTTTTCCTTAGTGCATGCTGGGGAAAAGATCAGATGATGATATGAGACTGGTTTCCTCTCTAGGTTTTTTTTTTTTTTTTTTTTTGAGGCAGAGCCTCAAGCTGTCATCCTGGGTAGAGTACTATGGCATTATAGCTCACAGCAACCTCAGATGCTGATATGAGATGGTTTCATCTCTAGGGTTTTTTTTTTTTCTTTTTTGTTTGTTTTTGTTTTTTTGAGACAGATCCTCAAGCTGTCACCCTGGGTAGAGTGCTGTGGCATCACAGCTCACAGCAACCTCTGACTCCTGGGCTCAAGTGAGTCTCCTGCCTCAGCCTCCCAAGTAGCTGGGACCACCAGCGCCCGCCATAATGCTCAGCTATTTTTTAGTTGCAGCCATCATTGTCGTTTGGCAGGCTTGGGCTGGATTCGAACCTGCCATCTCAGGTGTATGTGGCTGGCGCCTTAGCCACTTGAGCAACAGGCGCCAAGCCATCTCCATTTTTTTATGGTTGCATAGTATTCCATGGTGTACACATATCACAATTTGTTGATCCATTCATGGGACAATGGGCACTTAGGTTGTTTCCATGTCTAGGCCATTATGAATTGGGCTGCAATAAACATTCTGGTGCAAATGTCTTTGTTGTAAAATAATTTTTGTAAAATAATTTTTTCTAGTTTCATCTGGGTATATACCTAGTAGAAGAATTGCAGGACCAAATGGTAGGTCTACTTTTAGTTCCTTGAGTGTTCTGCAAACTTCTTTCCAAAAAGGTCGTATTAGCTTGCATTCCCACCAGCAGTGTAGAAGTGTTCCCTTCTCTCTGCATCCATACCAACATCTGTAGTTTTGGTATTTTGTGATGTGGGCTAATCTTACTGGAGTTAGATGATATCTCAAAGTGGTTTTGATTTTCATTTCTCTGATGATTAAGGATGATGAGCATTTTTTCATGTTTGTAGGCCACGTGCCTGTCTTCATCAGAAAAGTTTCTGTTCAAGTCTCTTGCCCACATAGAAATGGTGGCATTTATTCTTTTCTTATTGATTAGTTTGAGTTCTCTGTAGATTCTAGTTATCAAACCTTTGTCAGAAGCATAATGTGCAAAAATCTTCTCCCATTCTGAAGGTTTTCTGTTTGCTTTACTTATTGTGCTTTTGGCTGTGCAAAAGCTTTTTAGTTTGATCAGATCCCAGAAATGTATTTTGGGTGTTGCTTCAATTGCCTGGGGGGTCCTCCTTATAAAATATTCTCCCAGGTCAATTTCTTCAAGGGTTTTTCCTGCACTCTCTTCTAGTGTTTTTATAGTTTCATGTCTTAAGTTTAAATCTTTTATCCAGTGAGAATCAATTTTTATTAATGGTGAAAGGTGGGGGTCTAGTTTCAGTCTTCTACACGTCACCAGCCAGTTCACTCAGCACCATTTGTTAAATAGGGAGTCTTTCTCCAACTGAATATTTTTGATAGGCTTGTCAAAGATCAAATGATGATAAGTAGCTGGGTTCATCTCTTAGTTCTGTATTCTGTTCCATAAATCTACTGCTCTGTTTTTGTGCCAGTACCATGCTGTTTTGATCACTATGGATTTTTAGTATAGCCTGAAGTCTGGTAATGTGATACCTCCTGATTTGTTTATTTCTGAGTAATGTATTTGCCATTCGATGTTTTTTCTGATTCCATATAAAATGAAGTACTATTTTTTTCAAGTTCTTTGAAGTATGACAGTGGTACTTTAATGGGATTGCATTAAATCTGTAGATTGCTTTGGGTAGTATGGACATTTTTTTTTTTTTTGAGACAGAGCCTCAAGCTGTCCCCCTAGGTAGAGTGCTGTAGCATCACAGCTCACAGCAACCTCCAACTCCTGGGCTCAAGTGAGTCTCCTGCCTCAGCCTCTCAAGTAGCTGGGACCACAGGTGCCCACCACAACGCCTGGCTATTTTTTGGTTGCAGCCATCACTGTTGTTTGGCA